GGGATAATGTTTTAATGTTGGTAAGCTGTGCCCTTTTTGGAGTTCTCCTTTATTATAACTTTAAAGTAATTTTTGGGGTGTCTACCCTTTGCCTTTAAAATAGCATCAATTCCCCTAGGTACATTTGCACACAATTTTTTAAGGAACTTGGCAGGTAGTTTTTTTTAAAACATCTATGAGAACTACCCAGTGGACTTAAGCTGTCTCAGTTGCTTCTGTCTTTTCATGTAATCCCAGGCAAGAGCTTGAACAGCACATCTGAAACACCTGTTCTTTCTGCCTGTGAGAGACCTTGGGGGTGATTTACTAACCTAAACACACGCACGCACCAGGTGCGTGTGATTTTCACACGGCAAAACGTATTTATCAACCAAAAAGTCTCTAAAAGCATATTTCCACTAAATGCCATATATGGAAAAATCATGCACATGATGCATATATAATGCTGCTTCACAGTTTAGACAAAAATGGTTAGCTCATGCATTTACATTCCTGCATTCATCAACGCAAGCAACACAACATAGAGCTAATTTACACAACATCACCTTGCAATTCATGCTTGGCTTTGCACAACACACCTGCTGGGTGTGTACACACTACAAAGGTGTTTAGATTCCTCCCATAGATCATGCTGGGAGGGAACACACTACAGAGGTGTATACATGTTCGTGGTGTGTTTATAAGGTTAGTAAATCAACCCCCTTGAGTTGATGCAGTAAGACCACCCTGTGTCAGTTTGGCATTGTGTAAGATTTGTTAGATTGAATTGTCTATAGCGACATCAACGTGCTAGTAAAGCATGGCATTTTGTCACCCAGTTCCATTCCTCTAGAGCTGATTCAATTTGATTAACGCCCTATTCACACTTGGCACATGCATTAAAAGCATGTGTCGTGTTTGTGGTGTCATTATTGCTAGCAAGCCAGATGTGCTTTTTTGCTGTACAAAAATACAGTGAGGAAAATAATCATTTGATCCCCTGCAGATTTTGTAGATTTGCCCACTTACAAAGAAATGAAAGGTCTATTATTTTTATCATAGGTGTATTTTTAAATGATAGAGACAGAATATCAGCCACAAATCCAGAAAAAAACACGATACAAATGTTATGAATTGGGTTGCAGTTCAGTGAGTACAATAAGTATTTGATCCCTAAGCAAAACATGACTTCGTACTTGGTGGAGAAACCCTTGTTGGCAAGCACAGGGGTAAGTTCCACACGTGGCCTCACACACTGATGGTGCATACCAGTATGGCATTACAGAACCATGAAGGAAGGGTTTGTGTGACACCACTCACTAACAGACAAAGCAAGCCTTGTGCTGTCTCTCACGATAGCCTATGGTGCTCTTTGACTCCTTTGTCACAATTATTTGTAAAAAAAAAAAAAGTTAGTATACATATAGCAATATAGCTTCTCCTTCCAAGTAATGTTGTTCATTAGTCTTAAGCATTTTTTTTTTTAACTTGCACAAAAGAGCCAAGTGCTGTAAGAACCCAGCTCTGAAATCATGGTGGTTATTCAAAGCTATTGTTAGAGGAGATGCTGTCTTAGATAGCTGTTTAGTTCCAGCTGCATCTATAGCAGACCTCCTCCTATCAACCAGTTTATGTTGGCACAACTACTTTCATGGCTGATTTCACATGCTTCCAGAGATGCTATGGAGGGTGATAATCACTATATAGCCCCACTGGATCGCGGGTGCAATGCTCTGGCTCCTGCACACTGTTCCTTCCAGCTCCTATCTGTATCGAGGCATGGACTTTCAGTTACAGGGACAAGAGAAAGTATGAATCGACTACAAGTGCTGTGATACCACCGCACTTGTACTCCATTAGCAACTACAAGTCCCCTTGGAGTGATGACACTGTAGACAACTGTACTATGCACCCTTTGCATCCCATTAAACAAAACCCTTACAACTGTAAAATGACTACAGTACTGTGGGTAATGAAAGGTCTGCAGGAGACAAAAATATGTCCATACAATATGTAAGGAGGCGAGCAAAGACTCAACATATCTAGGAGTGTCAGATTGTGGACTATGCATTATCTGGCTTTTATTTCCAGAAAATGAAATAGAAATGTGTTCCTTCTTTCAAAACATGCAGGCAACCTCATTTGCATAAGTTTCAACAGCTGGAGAATCTGCTCTTATGTTGTGGGAAGATGTGGGAAATTTTTCGTCCGATGATCGTACGACGGCCCCATCCTGCCCCAATTATCGAAAGGTTCAATCAGCGGTAGTTTAAAAAAACACCTGAACGACTTGCGGTAATTGACCGCAATTATTTTAGTTTGCGCATGCACAGTGTTCATCATACGACTTTTGACGGACGGAAACACCACCAACCATGCGAACATCGTACGATCGACCAAAGTTTTCAAACATGCTTGACCGTCAAAAATCATACGATTGTACAGTACTATCGGTCGGGTACTCTATTCACACGTTACGATTGTCGTACGAAAAGTCGATCGCATACGATAATCGTACGATAATCGTAAGGTGTATAGGCACCTTAACAGTTTAAACCCTAGAAGAATTGTGCCTCACTCCATTACACTCTAATCGGACCCCAGTATGTGCCATCCAAGCTCTAATTGACTGCTTTTTGGAAAAGTTCCAACTGAGCTTTACATTTTTAATGATTCTTCTTTGGGGTTAACTTGTAACATTCTTAACCTATAGTGTGAATGATGTCATCATTTTACATGTTATTTTGTAATGTTGGAGTGTTTATATGAATAGTTTTGAATGATACATGACTCATAATCTTATTCGAGAGATATTTTTAGCTGCCTTTTTTCTTTTAAAGCATCTATCTCAAATACCACATACATGAATATTTGCTTTTGGCAAAGGCTTTTTCCAAAACTGTGTAACATCATTATGTATTCCACGTAAGATGGTCTAGTCACCAGAATTGCTTTGGAATCTAACTAGGCTCTGTCAATTGATATGGGCACCACAAGATAAGCATTACCCGAATGAGGAATTCCCATCCCAAGTTAAATTTAAACATGTTACCTGGATGTGAAACAGAGTTTAATTTAACCTTTAAAGGTACAAGGAACAGTTACCTTTTATTCCTTCTAGTGCGCTTGAATGGCTTATTGTTCACACTTTGTAAACAGCTACTTGTTAGGGTCAAGTTTAAAAGCCGTTTCACACATCGGTAGAATACAAACCATTATGTAGTCTGCGAGTTGTGACCACATCTAAGGAACTGCTAGACAGAAGCAGAGAAAGCATTTAAGTGATCTTAAATATCAACATCTTATCAGTGTAAGTACTTACTAAAAAGTGGCTTTTTTATAAGAAAAGTAAAATTTAGAAATGCTAACATGTTTTAAGGCTTTATTCACACTTGAAGTGTCAAGCCTGATTTATATACTCTTGGAGGGAATTTCTGAACGCATGTAAATGCATCTAATGATTACTTACTGGTATCATTCAAACTGAGTGTTTACCTTTGTTTAGGTACGGTGAGTTTAGCCTTGTTTACAGAAAATAGAATTATGTGCGTCCAAGGTCCAATTAGAAACTCTAAACAAATAAATGGACGTAAATGCGGCTAAACCCGCTTCAATTCAGGTACATCAAGGCTACATTCACACTGGCACTCCTGCATTTGGGTTATCTAAACACAAGAGAAGTTATCTGGGAAGAAAAAAGAACTTTTATGCTTGCCAGATCACTTTCCCTGTGTTTAGATGCACCTGCCTTAGGCCTTATTTACACTTGTGAATGGAGCCAATTGGGTGAGTCTCACAAATGCAAGTGAGACTCACCCAAGTGTGTGAGTGAAGATGGGAAGCGGTATACAAAACAATGACAGCGGCTGGCACTAACTAGCTGTTAGTGGTAGTTCTTATGTAATCAGATATGCCTCGAGTACCTGCGGACAAACAGTTTCCATCCAGAGACGATCGTCCACAGGTAATCACTAAATGTCCAATTACACGCGGGCAGCTCCAGGCATTGTTAGCTGTTCACATGAGTCTAAGCCCCTATTCACATGAGTAACAGCTGACCCGTACGGATCCGTGCGGCATGCACGGCCATATCGGGCCGCTCGTGGGAAGGACAGGAGCTGCGTGTGAATACACGCAGCAGCCTGTTCTTCTCTATGGGAGTACGCCGCCCTACGCTCACCCGAACTGCACATCTGTGCGGGTGCGCATGTCCGTAATCATATGGATGGATCCTGTCTGTGTCTGAGCAGGGACACCCGCACCCGTACGGACGTACAGTTTGCGTGGGCGTAGGGCGGCGTACTCCCATAGAGAAGAACAGGCTGCTGCGTGTAATCACATGCAGCACCTGCCCTTCCCGGGAGCTGCCCGATACGGCCGTGCACGCAGCATGGATCTGTATGGGCCGGCTGTTACACGTGTAAATGGGGGCTTATAGAACAATATGTGAGACCACCCTATTTGCAAATGTGAATGGGACCTTAAAGCGGGTTTAGTCAGGTTTACATGTGCACTTACAAGCATTTAAAGTGCATTTTATGTGCTTAGCTGTGTTTACAGTTACTAATCGAATAATGTACTCACAGAATTCAATTTTCTCTAATAGCAGCTAAACTGATCGCACATAAATGGTCAGTTTGAATTGATCTACTGCTTTGGGCTGCATATGAGCCTGGACTTGGTGCGGACCCGGCTCAAAACTGTGACTACCGCAGTATGACCCTCTCCCGGGCCAGTAAGTGGTGACGGCAGTGTTCCCTGGCACCTTGTGACGTATAGCTGCAGGGCAGAGAATGCGCCTCTCTGCAACTGATTGGGTCAGAAGGACAGTTTTGAGCAGGCTTAGGTGATCTGGATTCGCACCAAGCCTCATCATTCCTGGACAAGACAATTAGATGTCAGGTAGACATGTAAGTGTCTTTGGTCTTCTAGGCTGATCACAATGTATTGTTTAATTTTCATATCTAGTCAACGATGGTAGTTTGTCTCCACATAGTAATACCTTTTTCTTTGTTTTCTAGCACATCCTTCATTGGCCACCTCTCTGGTATATTAGTCGGCTTATTATACACACATGGACCCCTGGGGTGGATTCTGAACAGTGCAGGTAATAACCCCATATGCCAGCAGTAGAGAGATGTTCTTCTCTTCCTGCAAGATTCACAATTGAAAAGCAATAGTCTGTTCTATTATAAGCCACACCTGTGGGTTTAACAACATACTTAGGAGAGTTTAATGATGTATTTATCATTCATTACAAGCCCTCTCTAAGTAATATTAATATTTTACTTCTCAAATAGTGAACATAGAGCGTATTTTATGGCATATGCATGATACCGTAATAATAAAAAGGACAATAAAACTGAACAGGGCATAGAGAGCCTAATGATTTTAAGTGGAGATAAATCACAATGTCTGCAGGCAAAGTGAGCGGCACTGAAAATTTCCTTCATTCAAACGGTGATGAGAGACATATGGCTTGCAATGCTTTATCATTCTCTGTCTGCAATATTAAACAAACGGTACATGTGAAAAGAATTCGATACAACTGTGATCACTGGAGGGAGGTTCAGTGTAGTGCAATAATGTGACGTTGATGAAGATTAAAACATTGGCTTGTCCTTAACTCCCCTTTTCTTATAATAAAATACTAAACATCATCTTGAATATAAATGCTGTGCGTCATTCTTTTCACTTGCAGTCATAAGTCTTAAAGGGGACCAGTCACATTTGGGCTTATGGAAGAATCTGCATACAGTATTGAGTCCTAAATGACTGTAATTGTGCAGGATTATTATATTATATTTTCCCCTTATTTAGCTGTACTTTGTCTACCTAACACTTTACCTTAAGAGTAATCAATCAGAGGTCAGAAGTCTAAGGCTGGTTTCACATCACTGAGATGCAGTAACAATTTCTGTCCTTTTTTTGATGCTTTGCCAGCCCATTCAAAATGAATAGACTGCTTTAACTCAAAGCACATTAACACACGACATAATGTATGTTACCGCAACGCTCCAGAGAGGATAGTTGTGAATGGACCCTTACAGTTCCACACGTGGCCTCAAACACTGATGGTGCATAACAGTATCACATCACAGAAACATGAAGGAATGGTTTGTGTGACACCAATCACTACTCCTGAATGAATGAAGAACACTTTCCATTTTTTACATTTGTGATTACATTGATGACAGAAGGAAGAAGGAAATGCTGTGGCCTATTTGGTATTCTCTTCTTTTTGTCCCCAAATTAGATAAAAACAGCTGGGGATACTTCAAATAGTATTTCAACTGACTCCTCTCACCTGAAATATGGGATGTTGGCCAATAACCTTCCAATGCTGATACAGAAAGACAACTAGAAGGACTTGGAAAAAAGTTGGTTAGTACAAGTGTTACGCGTATGACCTTGTAGAATGGAACTCTTTACCAGGTTCTTCTGGTTGTCTTTCTGTATTCTCTTCTTCACCTGGATGTTAAGAATCTCCTGACCACATAAACAGACACTTATTAATAGCATGTAGAAGAGAAGTTACCAGCACTCCATAGATGTGAGAATAATCAACAGTAACTATGTTATTCTGAGGAAGGGACCCTGCATGGCCCCAAAACATTGATTATATGTACATGTGACGCTATCTGAAGTTGATTATTCTCACATCTTTGGAATATTGGTAAATTCCCTTCTACATGTGATTTTACACTGCGCCATCTGTGGCCATCACTACATGCACCATCCTATTGCTTTGTTCAGTCCTTAAAGGAGAACTATGGGGTCAGGGCTTTGCCCCATAGTTCTCAGGGTAACGGGAGGACACAAACCAGCGTCCTCCCGTTACAGCTCGCGGTATACTGAGACACCGCAGCAGGAGCGGATCCCTACATTGATGTGGAGATCTGCCCAGCTGCGTGAGTGACAGCTGGCTGTGCCTATCTAGAGGAAGAGCCAGCTGTACCCGCCCCCTCCCCCGTCCGATCCGCCAGTCAGCACTGGCGGATGGGAGCGGGGAGGGGGGAATCCAGCGTCGAGAGGTGAGCGAATGCCGTTATATGTTCGCTCACCTCTCGATCTACTGAGCCGACCTGTGACAGTCTCATTGTCACAGGTCGGCTAGAACTATGAGGTGAGTGAAAAGCACTCACCTCATAGTTCTCCTTTAACCCATCGCACTCCTAACCGGAAAAGATCCAAAAAATGGATAATGGCTGCTGCAGTGACTGTGGATGGCGCCGCCGGTAGATCAGTGAAGAAAACATCAGCACTCCTGAGTTCCAAGAATGTCAGACCTTGTTTATTGACATCCAATCAGTTCTCACAATGTATGGCAACATTTCGGAACGGTTCCTTTTTCAGGAAAACAAAGTGACAACCCACAAAACACTAGTAAATGCTATATTCAGAAACCGTCATATTACCCCCTCTGATCTCATTATGACATCATATTCCTGCCAAATTAGATTCAAATATGTAAACACTCACATTAGTATAAACTGAACATGCATTTGTAAACAACATACATGAGCAAGAACACTGAGCATTATGAGTCACGGTAAGGCACCATGGCATATTAAATCTAACTGCAAATGTAAATAATGGGTCAAACAGACCCCTGGTAGGGCAAAGTGCCGGCATATAAGGGAATCATAAGTCACAATATGTAAATATAAGGATATACATCTAGAGTAAAATCGGGGGAGGAGGGGGACGACGACAATGTAATAATGTGAACACCCAACGTGAAACTGTACCCCAAGCTGTCGAATAAGCCGACTCATGGGAAACTATCATGGAACAATCATGGGGATCAATATAACCTATTATCTATCTGATAGGAAACAGGAAAGAGACTGCTATTCAGTCCTTTTGGCGTGTAGATCAGCAATGCTTTCCTGCGTAGTAACTGTGCGTCCCTGTTACCACCCTTAGAATGCATCGGGGCATTATAGATAACCATGCCCCTATTCGTAAATTGACGGTGTTTAGCAAAATGTACTGCTACTGGTTTGCTATAATCAGGTAGTTAACTATGATGTATTACTTTATCACTATATATCATTCACTAGTGTATTGTGGGTTATCACTTTGTTTGCCTAAAGAAGGAACCGTTGTGCGTTCTGAAACATTGCCATACATTGTGAGACCTGATGGGATGTCAATATGGGATGTCAATAAACAAGGTTTGTCATTCTTGGAACTGGGGAGTGCTGGTGATTTCTTTACTGAATCCTATTGATTTGGGTGCAAAGGCTGTAAGGAGAGTGTTTGGGAACTGTGGTTTTTGCACCTATTAATAGGAGACATGATGCATCTGATCCACCAATGGACAGCTTGGTAGTATTGTATACAAGGTGGCTACTGTAAACATAGCAAGAGCTCTATAGCTTAGTATGTAAGCTAAATAGGTCCAAATAAGGCTTATAATAGAACCGATTTATTGCGTTTTTTAAAACTCATCTACTTAGTAATGTTAACCTAGATCAACTTTACAAAATCAAGTCAATTTTAATTATACCATTTATTGTGTTTTAACCCTTTTACTGCCACATTTGAAAGTAGTACAGCAACGGTAGTAACAGGCTATAAGCAAGCTCACAGATATGTGTCTGTTTATAGGGTGTGCTTGCCGGTAGAACTGATCCTTTCAACAGGGCTTTTTAGCAGCTGCCCTCCCTGCATCCCAGTTCCTGGATTCACCTGCTTCTCTAGGACCAGCTTGTTACCTCCCTTGTGAAAACAAAAACAGTAAAAAGTTTTAAAAAATGTAATAATAAATAAATTTAATTTAAAAAACATTTTAAAAGTCCCCAGTGTCAATGCCCATACATACACTAATGTATAGGATGATTGCACAACACATATTGAGTATACCTGCATTCTGGGATTAAGAGGAGTAATTCCAGAGCCATCATTTATGATCAACTCTTAATTGCTGAACTGTAAATGCTCTTAAAGTGCCTCTTATTAACAATTATGATTATTGTAGCGTTTCCTTATTTTAAGAGCGCACAGTTTTGAGGCTGGACATCGTATATATCTTTACATGAAAAAAAAAAAATATAATTTTCTATATTTTACAAAAAGATTTAAATTGATTTGATTTGCAACTCCCACCATTTTATTCTTTACGTTTTTATTTTAAAAAATAGATATTGTTTTAGGTGTTTTAAGTAAGCTTTCATGTTTTAGCATGTGTGTAAAAAGGGTTATTGCATATATAATTACCTTGTTTTAGGATCCATTTTCACTGAAGGCAATCAACGAAGACATGAAAGATTCAACAACTCTGGTAGGCTGT